TGGCATGCCAATACTCAGAGATGCTCTCTAGGTGCTTTTCTGCCTTTTTTTTTTTTTTTTTTGTCCAGAAAAGGGTATTCTGTATTGTTGTTTCCAAGATACAAGGGGATAGCAAAGCCTTCTGGCAATTTATGTTACTGAAGCAAGGAGCGACTTGGGAGGATTACATGCTTTTCATGGCTGCTACCACATAATCATGGATGTTTGTTTCCCCGGGGACAAGAAGCAGTGGCACACCTTGTGCTGCTGCTACTTATCCCTGAGGAATGCCTGTGCCATGCACCCTCTGATGCATGGCAGGATACCTTGGGTGGGGTAGAGGAGGCTGGGACCAACACTGTGCTGGCCCTAGCAGCCTTATGTGGGGCCCTGGGGGCCTCCTGGGGCTGCAGCAGTGGTGATCCTGCCACTTGGAGCCTGGCCAGCAGCCAGAGTACAGCTCCAGCTGGCCAGGCTCCAGGTTTGGGTGGCAAACGGTGCCCCCACATGCACCGCTCCACATTTTTTTTACATAGGTTTTTTTGACCCTGGGATCTTCTGGGATCAAAATCCCACCCCTCCACTGCTACCTTGAAACATGGAGAACAGCTGAATGTGCGGTATGAGATGCAGGTGTGACTGTGGTGTCACATACTGCACAGCCATGCTCATCTGGACATAGCCCATGAGTCTCTACTGAGGGCAGAAAAGAGACTAAACAAGGACTAGAAGAGTTCACAAGAGTGGGCAGTTTAGGGCTGAGAGGTGAACCAGGGTTGAGGCAATTCTGAAAGAGTCTGGAGCAATAGGATGCCTAAATTGAAGGGCTTCTGGAGATAGTTTGTATAGCAATGGACCAGATGGGAGATTTTTTAAAGAATTTATTAAACCAACCTATAAGTGGCTTGGTATGCCTCCTGCCTGGGGAGCCCCTCAGCCAGTTATCTTAATACAAAAATAGTCCTCTTAAGATAAACAGTAATTCTTGCACCAAAAACAAACATGCAAATCAAAACCTTTAGCTCTTATCCAGGCCATAGGAGGAGCCCTAAGCTTTGGCACCTTCCTACATAGTGAGCTTATCAGGGCTTCAGTCAGCTTCCTAGCCAAAGACTGCTCTTTCTCCCAGCTAACCACTTTCTGCTTTCCACTCTGGGCTGTTCGTCATCATTGTCAGTGATTCCTCACAGTCAAGGACATTCACTCCCATGGGTCAAATAGAAGGTTGTAGATGATCTTGGACTTTTAACTGCTAGAGCAGGGGTGGGCAAAACACGGCCCGTGAGCTGGATGGGCAAAACATGGCCCGTGGGCTGGAACCGGCCCACAAGGCCATTCTATACGGCCCATGGGTTCCTAAAAATTTTTGAAAATTAATATTTCTCTGTCCTTGGTTTCTGTCAAAAATGACAGGAACCAGGAGCAGTAGGACCCAGGGGAAGTCCGGTGGGCTCCCGCAATAGCAGGGCCTGCCGGGCCTTCCCCCCAGCCTAGGACCACATGGCTGCCCCACACCAGAACCTCAGGTAAGGGCAGAAGAGGGCAGGGAAGGAGCTGGTGTGGAGCAAGGGGGGAAAAGCGGTCCCTCACCTGCCCCGTGGCCCACGCTACCTGCTGCCTCTGCTTGCAGGGCTTTCTTGAGCAGGCACAGGCAGCCCCATGCGGGCTGCAAGCAGCTGCAGCATTTGGCACCGGGCATGAGGCAGGTGAGGGGCCGCTTTTCCCCCCCCCGTGCCCCCCCCCACTTTTGCCCCCCCCCCCCGCTGCCAGCCTGGGCCCCACACCGGCTCTGGGCTCACTCGTCAGGGCTGCTCTGCGGCAGCAGCAGCTGCAGCCACCCCACTTACCACACTGGGCCAGCTCCCCCCCTCTCCCTGCTGGTACAGCCCAACCCAGCTCCACAGACCCCTGCCAGCCTGCACCCCATGCTGGCCCCCACTGGCACTGGCCCTGAGACACTGGTCCCAAGATGGTGGCCAGGGGGCGGGGCTCCTGTCAAGGGGCAGGGCTACCCATGGGGCCGTCAACAGCCTGCCCAAACTGGCCAGTTCTGCCTGAAATAATTGCCTGCCCCTGTGCTAGAGGAATACTCTTGATAAGCTAAGTGCCCCCAGCTGGGCTTCCACAAGAGGGCTATCTGTCTCCTCATAAAGAGCCAGACAGCGATACTACACAGTCCCATAAGAAGAGTATTTTATTTTAAAATGTTAGTAATTCTAGGTGTGATTAGCTCAGACTTAGGAGGGAAAGAGTAGTTTGGAAAGAGCTGTGGAATTAACCCTGTTTTACAGTGACGCAATTTAGATAGATTTTCCTGTAGCCACATAAGCTTTTAACTTACACCATAGTGGATTTCTTGTCTTTATTTTTTTTCTTATTCCTTCACTTCCCAGAAAGATAGGAATGCATATAGTGAAACAGACTGTAGGCCATATCTTTGATGACCCTGCCTTAGAGAGAATTTTGCAAAAGCCCTGTAGTGAACAGTTATGAAATAATGTGCTGATAGGAAGCTTCTTCCTGAATTCATAGTGGTTAGTTTTGCTCTAGAGGCTTTGTATCTTCCCTCTTCTTTTTTTTAACTTACGTATTATGATGGTGGATGATGTCATTTTTCATACAAAAGCCTAATATTTTATTAGAATCCTGCTAATTCTTTTTTCCTTTCTGGTTTTGTCCTATAATCTGTTACAATAGTGTGAACTAAAAAGTGTTCCATTAAGCCAGTCAGCTATAGTTTATGTTTGTTAAGAGTAAATGTTGCCGAATGAATTCAGTACATCATCGTGTGCAATATTTTTAGAAGTAGCTATCCGGAACAGACAAATTGTAATGCCACTAAGCAAATTCTTTTTCCAAATAGACAATATAGTCATGCTTTATCGTAATGATACTGAACTGAACTAGTGAAGTATGTGTAGAGAGAATTACGACTTCCTAAAGGTATATGAGGTTTATGGAGCCTGTTTAACACTACTACGGTTGAAGTAGCCTAAAAGGAAAATAACTACTATTTCTTCAAATCTGCTAATCCTTTGCTTAGAGATCTTATTCACTTTATTACATAAAATGATCTTTTCTTTATACTTTGACTTTTGACCACAAATGCTTACAGGTTACAAGGATGTAGTTCATATGGTACTGATCTCTGGGGGCAGGGCGCAGTTTCAAGAGCTGTGACCTGCAGCAAGGGCTGGGTTGCAAAAAGCAACCCATAATAGTAAAAGGCTGCCAACCCCTGCTATAGGATTACATGGTTTGGTTAAGTCCTGAAGAATCTGCAGAATGCTATCAACTATTCCAGATATAGTGCTCTGGAAGATATACTCAGAATCACTTATAAGTCTTCAAAAGCAGCTGAGAGTATTTTATTTATTTCTCACATGCCAGCAAGATGTGTATCTGTGTAATAGGGCTATGCAAAGCTTCAGTCCCTGATTCAATTTGGCGGAGATTCAGCCCAATTCGGAGGCTGAATCTCCGAATCCAAATAGAATCAGGAGACCCTTTAATCTCTCTGAATTGAATCAGAACCCTCCGAATCAATTGAGAGAGATTCAGAAAGATTGGGTGATTCGGATATAGACACAGCTTTAAATGTTTTTTTCTACATACCTCTAGGTAGCAGGCGGCTCATGAACGCTGTGATGCTGGGGCGGATGGAGCATCCCACCGGAGTGCAGGGGGGCTCCCCACGTGCTTTATGGCAAACCCATGAGTGAACCGGAAGTACTTCCGGTCCACTTCTGGGTCTGCTGGGGAGCATGCTGTGGGGCCCCCCTGCGCTCCCCAGCTCAGTGACTGATGCCTCCTGGGTCTGTAGGGGCACCCGGAGTCCCCCCCACACTGATCGCTAAGCCCGGAGGGGTACAGGGGGGGCCCTGTCCACTTCTGGTCCACTACCTGGTACTTCTGGCCCACTTCTGGGTTCACCACCAAGCACGCGGGGGGCCCCCCCCACACTCCTGTAGGATGCTCCATCCGCCCCAGTATTGCAGCGTTCATAAGCTGCACTGGTACCTTGAGATATGTAGAAAAATATTTAAAGCTGTGTCTATGGCTGAATCACTGATTATCCGAATCAGCATTGAATCTTTAGATTCGGATTTGGTTGAATTGAATTAGGGACAGTGATCTGAATCAATGAATCGAATCACTGTCCCTGATTTGGGCTGAATCCGAATCGAATAGGGCCCGCTTTGCAAACCCCTACTGTGTAGCTACTATTGAACTCTTTAAAAAAGGAACTTTTTGACTTACCTTCTCCCCCCCTGAGTATTGTCTACAATAAGGTAAGTTTTTGAAGTCACAGAATCTTTAACATGTAAATCCATGGTAGTCAGAACTAGCAGAATTTTCTGGCTGGTGAATTGTAGTGCCCTGTGGCAACATTCACTGTGTTGAAGATGCTGTGTCTTCATTATGCAGATTTCTTCAGTTATTCTATTGCCCTTATTTCAAATAAAATGTAGTGAAAAGCCAATTCTCTGAACTTAATTTCTAAAATTATAAGTGACATTAACCTAATGCCCCTGATCAAAATATTCTTAAAAAATATAGGATTTTTTAAAAATGGGATCTTTGACTATTACTGTATGCATGCAGACAACAATAAGCAAGCTTAAGTAACTGTAGGATTAAAACAAGTGAACAGATTCACTGGCTACTTTTGTAAATTACTAACGCTCTCCTTGCTACCAACAGCAGTCATTAAAAATATGTCTTCTCTTTCACATTGCAAATATTATTTGCATAGAAGTAAATATCTTAGTACTAGTTTTAAAGCCAGAGTCCCTACAACTGTGAGAAAGATGTCTACAAAATGTATTTTTAAAATCAAGATGAAGTGTATATATTATTCAAATATATATTATCAAGTATTTATTATTCTCGTAGTTATCTGTAAAGATTTTTTTTTTAAACGGACTTGTTCATAAAACTTTTGAAAAGCTTTCTGCTACACTGATTCGCTAAATTGTTTTGTTTTATTGTGTTTTGTTTTCAATACCTGCAAAATTCAGCATGGGAATAAATCATGATAATGACCATCCATCCTGTGCAGATGGCCTCCATATCATGTCAGGAGAATGGATTAAAGGCCAGAATCTTGGTGATGTTTCATGGTCCCGGTGCAGCAGGGAAGATCTAGAAAGATTTCTCAGGTAACTTACTAAAGAACATAACATAATATAATGTAATCCTTTTTATTTTAAGGGATAGAAAATAGTCTGGGCAGTCATTTGATTGTTAGAGCACTTTGCTGGAAAGTGGGAAATGCAGTTTCAAACCCCTTCAGGGGTCCTAGGACCTGGGTCTCTTGTTCTGCGGGCAAGTTCTCTAACCACTAGAGACTGTTGGGCCAAAAAGTGGGAGGGCTTTACTCTGTGTGTTCACATACACATAGACAAACCTAATCCATGTATGGTACTGGTAAAGTGAAGAAACAGGAAAAAAGACCATTGTAGATGTGCCAGTGTAGAACCCTGACCTGCATGGTTTGGGGGTATTGTAAGATGAGATATTTTCACCTCTTCTTTTATATCCTTTTTCTTTAAAATTATTGTGTACAACTTCAGTGCTAGCTCAAAAGTAACAAGATACAAAAAAAAAAAGATTGATATGCTTAATGTCTGGAGGGAGTGGGGGGAAATAAGCTCCAAAAGTATGTATTAGAACCATCCAGTATTAGACAATTAGATTATGTAGTAATCAGACTGAAACATTTTCTAAGGTTTTCCTGTAGCTCTTATAACTGCTTGAAAAGATGATTTTTTTTTCCTGGTAACTACTTTGTCTCATTAGTCTATAGGGAGCTATTTCTCTAAATGACAACACAATAATGCTTCAAATCAGAGCTGTCCAATCTCCAAGCAGCTGGGGGCTGCAGGCTCCACAGGCCACACAAGTGGGGGGCAAGCCATAGCCCCCCTTGAGCCACACACCCCGTAGACACCCCTTCCTACTGATGCACTGCACGCCTGTACCTTCCCTCCACCACTGCACTGTGGGCCTGTGACCTCCCACCCCCACTGCACCCATGCCCCCTCCACTGTATGTCTGTGCAGACACACCACTGATACACCATCCACTTGTGATTGTCCCCTGATCTCTTCACCCCTTGCTGAACTGAGCACCCTAGCCTCACTCTTAGTGACCCACACTGCTGTAAGTGCTCTGCCTCCTGGCAGGGGCAGAAAGCAGCAGCCAGAGGTGCAGGAAGCCTGGAGCCTCTGGCTGTTGTTATGGCTGGAGCAGCATGGGGAGTGACAGTCAAGCAAGAGCCTGGGGGATACAATTTAACTCCTGTGGACCATATGGGACTTGGCCACCAGTTGGACAGCCCTACTTTAAACATTTATCTTTATAGTATTGTAAAGTATAGTAAATCTTTATAGTATTATTTAGCATAGTATAAATCTCTGTATCTTGCCAGGTCAAAGGCCAGTAACTGTTTGCTACACACAAATCCTCAAAGCCTCAATTCTGTGATTATTCCTTCCAAACTGCCAGGAATTACATACACTGCAGATGAACAATGTCAAATTCTTTTCGGACCAGCTGCTTCCTTTTGTCAAGAAATGCAGGTAAGGCTTGGTTTGACTTTAGAAGGGAGATTTGCTCTTGTTTCATTGGGAGAGTGAGAGCAAGAATCACTAACTTGTAAGCAGAAGTCCCTGAGTTAACTCTGAACAAGCTAAACTGGATATCCAAGTAGTGTCACTACAGATTTCTCATTCTAGCTAATTATCCCAGACAGAATATTGTCCTATTGTGGCTATATTGCTTCTAAACTCAGGACTACCTCAGGAATCTTTGTACAGCACTGCTTTACACTATGTAGACATACATATGTACAGTGCATTGGTTTACCAGAAATGGTTTACTCTCAAGATCATTTTTAACAAAATGTACATGTCCTTCTTTCTTACATGGACTTAACTGAAGAAGCATCTTGAGGAGCAATTTCAATAGAGAAATCGTTTTCTTATACATAAAGAAGTCTGATATTAATGGGTGGCTTGGAAAGAGAAACAGATATTAATGGGTGGCTTGGAAAAGGGTGGCAGAGATAAAAGTGAGAGTATAGTACAAAGTGCACTTTAAGAAAGACACTATGTTAAAATTAAAACTGAGATGCAAGGAGAATTAGATGATAAAGCCTTGAGAGCAAAGAAAGAGCAAAAGAACAATCCTTCACTTCTCCAGTTTCTCAGTTCTTCATGTTCTCAGCTAGAATTTTGTTCTGCATCCAGTTACAATGAAGAATGACTTGTATCATAATACTTCCCAAAACTAGTGTGACCATATGGTATAGGCAATATGGTACAATGTGAAATTCAGGAAATTCCCCCCGCCCTCTCAAGTCAACTGTGCTGCTGCAAGCAGAGGCCAGGTGACTGCAGGGTATTACTATTCAGGCAGCTAAGGAAGTCAATGCCCTGTTAATGACCCATTGTTCTTTACTTCACAGGTGTTAATAATCATCTCCCCTTTTTAATGGTCATTCAGCTAATCAAGCTAATCTATTTCAGGGCAATTTTGCTGCCTGTAAGGGCTTCCTATTTAATTACTCTTGCTGCTCTGCCTCCCTGCCCTGCATCCAGGATGTATGGTCACCCTACCCAAAACAAACATAACCAAAGTTGCTTTGTTGAAAAGACATTCCTTGGAGTCTTTTTAACTGGTACTAATGTGCTTTTTAATTATCTTTTTAAGCACCTTGCTTTATTCAGTATATTTTCAGTGGAAATAGAGGCTAAAATTTGATGGCTCTACCTATTTTCTGAAATATTCTCAAGTATGAAAATTTACACGCATTGCAGAATTAGTTTCTAAAAACAGCTGATTTGTTTTTAATAACTGAGACTGCCATAAGATGTGATACCTTTTTGTAGCATGTTCTAAAGAGCCAACAACTAGTGAGAAGTAGCTGATGGTTTGAGAGGTAGTGTTTTGAGAAAGGATAAGTTCACTTGTGAATAGTGAATTGGCATGCATGTATGTGTCTGTTTGGTAATACTGATAATATATATTTTATGGGAGGCACTGAGAGTTTGAGTCTGTACAAGGAACTTTTTTGAGCAGAAGTTTAAAAGCTTTTTTTGCTGCAGGTCTATGTCTATGTCAGTCTTCAGCTGATAGGGCAGCTAACAGGGGAGTTTGAGGGAAAGATTGGTTTGGTAGCTGTGTATGCTTGTCCGTCTGTCCTTCCTTCCTTCCTTCCCCTTTTTTTTTTTTCCTTTTTCTTTTTCTTTCCTGATGTTTTTCCCCCCCACAAAATTGTTTGTTAAAACATAAAAGATAGAGGATAGCAACTATTGGATTAATCAAAGAGTCTAAGCAAGACGGAAATGAGGATGATGAAGTGTAGAAGCAGTGGGTTGTATTTCATTCTTTCATTCATGGACTGGGGAAGGAGAAGAAAAGGGAAGTTAGTCCTGAAAGAAGGGAAGAGAGATGGGCGCGCATAGGTGACTTCAGCCCCAGACAGCTAGAGGAAGCATCAAGGCAGATCAAAAACAAAAGTAGCAGATTAGAAGAAGGAACAAAAGAAAAAAGATCAGAGAGATGTAAACCACAGGAAAAATAAGATAAGAGTCCTCGGGATTCACTCTTAAGTAAAACTGCCAGACCAGTCAAATGGAACAAACCAAAAAACGTGTGTGCTCTATACCAGGATGAAAGATAAGGGACACAGACTTGAGGTTGAAGAATATTTTGGCAGAAACAGGGAAGAGTCCATTAATCATTTGATATGTAAAAACAAATTAAATGTCTAGATACCTGCTGACAAAGATAATGAACAAATATTATAGTCTGGGAACGATGCTTAAAGAGTTAGAACCTCAGGTGCTCTTCAGTGGGATCTTTTCTGTCTTAAGGAGAAGGTTGGGCAGCACAGCACCTTTTGAGGCATAAAGAAAAAAAGAATGTGTTTGAATTAAAATTGCATTAAGAAGAAATAATCAAAAGGCCTTTAAAAGATTGTGTTGAGTGGCTATTATAAATCCCCATGTTCAGACTTGAAAATAGGTACAGATCTTTATAAGGACACTGGAAATTTAAGTAATAGTGAACATTTAAATAGTAATGTAATTATTGGACAGTTCAATTTCCTTGACATAAATAGGACTAGAGAGCTACAAATGTAGTGCCTGCTTGTAAGAAGGGGAGAAAATGATCCAGGCAATTACAGGTCTGTTAATTTGACTTAAATAGAACAAATACTGAAGAAAGGAATAGTCAAAGGTGTGAAAGACAATGGAAGATGGAACAAAACCCAATATGGGCTTGTTTATTCATGGAAGATTAATGTGATATCCCTCTATGACAAAATACTTATTGGATAAGAGCAATGCAGTAAACTTAATTTACCTAATTTAAACAAAGCTTTTGATGCCATGTCTAATGAGAAATTGGAACGCTGGAGAGGATGGCAGTTGGCTAAAAGGGAGACAGTTAAGCTGTATGTTTTACTAAAAGGTTAGGGTGGTGATTTAAAAGCCAGCAGGGCTGGGATCTGGTTTAAGGAAAGCTTCCCCAAGTATGTTTTCCAGACTCACTGGCTTTTAATTATCACCCATGCTGCCCAGCTGGACAGTGTGGGCAGCAAGGGGAAGCTGTACAGGGGCCAGGAACTGAACTTGGGGAGGCTCTCTGAATTCCTGGTGTGAGGGGCACACAGGGGATTTTCCCCATTACTCCCTCTATTTGGCTTCTTGGAGCCAAGCTCTGGGAGCAATGTAGTTTCCTGCTTGCTTCTCACATGGGAGTTCCTGCCCCTGGGAACCCGGGGAATGGAGCAGCCCATGGCTTCCCCAGGCTGGGATCACCCCAGTCTTGGATAGGCATAAGGAGCATTGGAGAGACTTGTTGCATGCTGAGCATCTGTAGTTCTCCCACTCCAGGAATCATTTTGAGTGTTGGAGATTTTCCACTGCTAGTTCGCACCCAGCTTTAGGCCAGATATATTCAGTAGAGACAAGGGGGCACAAGGCACTGGTTAGAGTCCATTTAGAATATTGTGTACAAGTCAGGCCACTGTTAAAAAAACATGGACTTAAACTGGAATGGAACAAAAAGTAGTCACTGGGATGGATAAGAGAATGAAAACATTTTCTTATAAAAGAAGATTAAAGGAACTTGGCTTAACTAAATACAATTTAAGAGGAGAGGCGATTATACTTTACAAGTACTTTTGTGGTGTGCGTATTAGGGCAGAGATGATTTCTTTAGGCTAAAAAACAACACTGGCACTGGATTAAATAACTACAGATTAACAGGTGGCAAATTTAGGTTTAAAACTGAAAGATTTCTGTCAGGGGGTGTAGTTTTGGGATGGGTGTTCTGAACGAAGTTGTCTCAGCAACAAACTTGAATCACATTAACAAGAAACTTGACAAGTTTATGGGATGTCTGATATGAAAGGACAGGGAATTCTGTCTCAACCAACAGTGTGTATGATATTTGAATTTACTTGCAGTCCAGAGTATGGGATATAGCGCTGCCTTGTGGCATGTTAGGTATCTGGTAATTCAGTGCTTCAAGTTTGCCAGTAAGAGCCAAGATGGATTTTTTTTCTCCCTCACATGAATGCTGCTGGCTTCAGTACTGAAAGGGGCAGGGAGTCATCTCTCTTTGAAGGATGGGAACATTGGTCATCATGGTAGATAGGGCTTTTTTGAGTGGTATGTGCTCGTGTTCCTGTTGGTACTTGGTTAACCCAGGGTTCCTAGCTAGTCTTGCTCTTCTGCTCTGGGTCATGCTGATCGCCAAATATGGAGCCGGAAAATAATGTTTCCCTAGGTCAGATTGGCAATGACTTTAGATGATTTTCTTTTTCGTTGGCTGCCTTTTGTTCTTGGTGTTTCTGGTATCATGCTGTGTAGTTGTGTGTGAGGATTTGGGAGGCTACTTGAGTAAATGGTCATCTGCAAATGGACATCAGTAGTCCAGGAGGCTCCTTCAGGATCTTATGTTCCTATATTCTTATCTGGGTTGGGATGGAGATAAAATGTGGTGCAGACCTCCTGTTAGCTTCTACTTTCTCTCAGCTCCCTGCTTTTTTTCTGGCAGTTGAAAAGTTTCAGGAAACTATACGTCATGGACCAGATTCTCAAAGATATGCACATGCACTTATGTGTCTTTGCACACTTTCAATTCCATAGTGTGTATACTGTTGGTAAATAAATCAGATTGGTATATTGTCATAATGTAGACATGTAAAGTGAGGTGGCTTAGAGTCCCCAGGATGTTTAGGTAAACTCTCACTCAGGTCTTTTAGCTTCCCATATTATTTTTAGGAATGCCAGTTGCTAAAATATTAAATCAAAATTGTTACCCTGATGCTGATGGGATTCTGTTGATCTATGTGTTCATTCCTAATATTTATTTCTGAATATCCATTTTTTTCTTCTGGTTCTGGGGTCTTATATGTGAAAGTTTACACTTGTAACTTTAAATACCTTATTTGTCATCCTTTTGCCTGTTTGAGTTATCATTTTAAATTTTAGGAACTCAGTGTAACTGAACACTAAATTTATGTGGTATCACTTTTAGAAGGAGCTGTGTAATGATGAAAGGC